ATCTATCAGATCTATCTATCTATCTATCAGATCTATCTATATATCTATCAGATCTATCTATCAGATCTATCTATCTATCTATCTATCTATCTATCTATCAGATCTATCTATCAGATCTATCTATCATATCTATCAGATCTATCTATCAGATCTATCTATCTATCTATCATATCTATCTATCTATCATCTATCTATCTATATCTATCTATCTATATCTATCTATCTATCATCTATCTATCATATCTATCTATCTATCTATCTATCTATCTATCTATCTATCTATCTATCATCTATCTATCTATCTATCTATCTATCTATCTATCTATCTATCTATCTATCTATCTATCTATCTATCTATCTATCTATCTATCTATCTATCTATCTATCTATCTATCTATCTATCTATCTATCTATCTATCTATCTATCTATCTATCTATCTATCTATCTATCTATCTATCTATCTATCTATCTATCTATCTATCTATCTATCTATCTATCTATCTATCTATCTATCTATCTATCTATCTATCTATCTATCTATCTATCTATCTATCTATCTATCTATCTATCTATCTATCTATCTATCTATCTATCTATCTATCTATCTATCTATCTATCTATCTATCTATCTATCTATCTATCTATCTATCTATCTATCTATCTATCTATCTATCTATCTATCTATCTATCTATCTATCTATCTATCTATCTATCTATCTATCTATCTATCTATCTATCTATCTATCTATCTATCTATCTATCTATCTATCTATCTATCTATCTATCTATCTATCTATCTATCTATCTATCTATCTATCTATCTATCTATCTATCTATCTATCTCTATCTATCTATCTATCTATCTATCTATCTATCTATCTATCTATCTATCTATCTATCTATCTATCTATCTATCTATCTATCTATCTATCTATCTATCTATCTATCTATCTATCTATCTATCTATCTATCTATCTATCTATCTATCTATCTATCTATCTATCTATCTATCTATCTATCTATCTATCTATCTATCTATCTATCTATCTATCTATCTATCTATCTATCTATCTATCTATCTATCTATCTATCTATCTATCTATCTATCTATCTATCTATCTATCTATCTATCTATCTATCTATCTATCTATCTATCTATCTATCTATCTATCTATCTATCTATCTATCTATCTATCTATCTATCTATCTATCTATCTATCTATCTATCTATCTATCTATCTATCTATCTATCTATCTATCTATCTATCTATCTATCTATCTATCTATCTATCTATCTATCTATCTATCTATCTATCTATCTATCTATCTATCTATCTATCTATCTATCTATCTATCTATCTATCTATCTATCTATCTATCTATCTATCTATCTATCTATCTATCTATCTATCTATCTATCTATCTATCTATCTATCTATCTATCTATCTATCTATCTATCTATCTATCTATCTATCTATCTATCTATCTATCTATCTATCTATCTATCTATCTATCTATCTATCTATCTATCTATCTATCTATCTATCTATCTATCTATCTATCTATCTATCTATCTATCTATCTATCTATCTATCTATCTATCTATCTATCTATCTATCTATCTATCTATCTATCTATCTATCTATCTATCTATCTATCTATCTATCTATCTATCTATCTATCTATCTATCTATCATATCTATCTATCATATCTATCTATCTATCTATCTATCTATCTATCTATCTATCTATCTATCTATCTATCTATATCTATCTATCTATCTATCTATCTATCTATCTATCTATCTATCTATCTATCTATCTATCTATCTATCTATCTATCTATCTATCTATCTATCTATCTATCTATCTATCTATCTATCTATCTATCTATCTATCTATCTATCTATCTATCTATCTATCTATCTATCTATCTATCTATCTATCTATCTATCTATCTATCTATCTATCTATCTATCTATATCTATCTATCAGATCTATCTATCTATCTATCTATCTATCTATCTATCTATCTATCTATCTATCTATCTATCAGATCTATCTATCAGATCTATCTATCTATCTATCTATCTATCAGATCTATCTATCAGATCTATCTATCTATCTATCTATCTATCAGATCTATCTATCAGATCTATCTATCTATCTATCTATCTATCTATCTAGATCTATCTATCAGATCTATCTATCTATCTATCTATCTATCAGATCTATCTATCAGATCTATCTATCTATCTATCTATCTATCTATCAGATCTATCTATCAGATCTATCTATAGATAGATCTGATAGATAGATAGATCTGATAGATAGATCTGATAGATATATAGATAGATCTGATAGATAGATAGATAGATCTGATAGATAGATAGATAGATTAGATAGATAGATCAGATAGATATTGCGAGATAAAAAATATTACGGGAAAATTTCCATAAGAAGTTCTACTGATAACAGTAGAACCTTCACTTCATATAGCTCTACAAACTCTTAATGGAAGATATTTATTTCAAGTAAATTTTCGACTTCGATCAGAAGCCTAAGACGATCAGAAAGGAACGACCGAAAAATCATCAGACTTAGTCATTCCATCCAAGGACATATAACGCATAAGCTAATATCTAAAACACAATTTTATGGCATTTTTGCCAGCCAGTCGCATGAAAAAAAAAGGATTTTTTATCAGTTGTGTTGGCAAGGTGTGTACTGGGGGATGGCCGTCGTCTTCGATGTTCCGAGGAATAGAGGACGAAGTAGCGGGGGTGGACCCCAAAATGTTATGAGAATCAATGTCATCTGAAGCCGAATGAGAAGCAGACAAGAACAGCTGAAACGATGAAAAAAAAATATGGCCAAAAAGAAGCACCTATCTCAATTGAATTCGATGTACGCGGAGTACATGGGTTTACCTCGGACAGTGTTCTCCGTTCGAGATAGGACAGATCACTTTCAAATGAGATGTTTCGATGTAAATGTCTAAAAGACCGAAGCTACGTACGTTGCAAATTTTTGCAATGCATTAAATTATTGCTTGAGACATTTGCAACAAGAAAGCACAAATCGATAAAAAGCAAACAAGTATGTAAGATAAAGAATCAATAACATTAAATTTCTGAGTTTAAGTTTAGTGAAAACGGTAGTTAAAACTTATCAACCAGCGAACATTAGTGCCTAAAGCAAGTGTCATATAATTTAAGAGCACCTATGCGTCGTAAGCTTTACATAATGCCCCAAAATCGGACGCTCTTAAATATATATTAGTATAACGTAATAGTTCTATTTTATATACTATATTGTCACTGTGGCATCGTGAGTACCGCTGAAGCACTCAAGAACAAAGCAATTTTAAGCGATAGAGAATTATTACTATTTTTATTATTATATTATCATTAAAACGTACAGTTTAAAAACAATGGACAGAGACGTTACTTGCCAATATTAAGGGTACAAGCCAGCTAACCACGCGAACTTCCTACACTTTGGTGCTCGTGCGCAGAACATTGGTTTTCTACCGTTCGTCTTTCGTTAAATACGAGCTATCAGCAACAATAATAACAGTGATACCAAAATAAAAAGAGATCATTGAATGTCGTATTTTTATTTCAACCCTCAAGAGATTACGGGGAAATTTCAAAATCGAAATTCAAAACCCACAACTCGATGGTAAATTCAAATAGGAACCCCAACGGTCAAAAGGTTCCACTAACGAACTATTATCTAGGGGTGCGATTCACGCTGAGACGAACCTACCTAAGCAGTAAGTACATATTTTTTTTCTTGGGGATTCGTCGTTGAGTAAGTTTAATGTGTGCTTTAATCACCCACTTCGCCGAAAAGCATCGGCCTCGAACGAAACTCATAGATTTGCTCAGGACCTAAACGAGCTCCTAAGGCCCTACTCCTCTATCTAGTAGTATAAAAGAACCTTCAGAATAGGCTCAGCACTAACGAGAGCCTATTTATTTAAAATGCATGTTGCAAAGCGAAGTAATAAATCCATGCAAATAATACTAGGAAATTAGCCCATAAACCACTTCTATTTTACCTTCAAAGAATCACATCAATATCACATGCTTGCTTATATTGCAGTATTTATATTTTATTTATATCATTTTTTATCAGTATTTGCTTTTTATTCCTTTTGTTTCGTCTGCTATTCTATTTTCCACTCGCCATTTTTGTGATTTTTGTCGTTGCTGACCGTTCAGCCGCCTGTTTGTTCACAAGTCTCGACTACCGTGTACCCCGTGCCGCCCAGTCCAGCACTGCCGCTATTGAATACATCTTGTCAATCAGTTCGTGTTCATGTTTCGCTACGCTTCGCACAAGCGCATTTATCCCTAGCATCGGTTGTTAAATTTTGGTTTTCGTTGCGGATACCGTCATCATTGTCGATACCTTCAGTGATCTGTTTTGATGTATTTTTGATTCTTCCGTCCTAGTGGATGTATGCGTATCTATATACGTATGTGTCTGTGCATGTGTGTGTCCAAATGGTATTTGTCCATTGTTTTCTCTTCATTCAACATACCATATGATAGCCGCAGTTTTTCCCTATCAGAACTAAATGTTCCGGTTCTACGGCATTGAGCTAAAGATTGTTTCCGACGACTACGTCCCTCCCCCAGCACGAAATGAACGTTATGTCTATTCAAACCGGAACGTCATTTCACATCGTGTCCTTATATTTAGCGAATTAACACATTATCGTCGCGCCATCGCGAAGGCCTTTATATCATAGCAGCACTGCTATACGTGCACAGCCCCCTCCGTAATTGGCCATTGTTTAACAATATTTAGGAAGAATTAGTATAGTAATTCGTCGAAGGGCCAGCATTCCTAATCAGATTGTTGAAACTAGGCCAATTTTGTTTCGATGAATTTAAATTATCCAGTTATCTGTTTCTACAAATCTCCGCGCGCACCAATTCAAGGACGTCGCCCGGCAGAAAACAAACATCGTCGCTGCTCATCGCTGTCAATATTGCGTCAGACCGAAAATGAGAATTTCGTTCTTCTTTTTTTTACACTCAAGTAGCTTGTCTCTATAAACCCGTGTACTGTTGTGTATGTGTGTAACGGGCGTTGCCTGTTCACGCGAAATAACGAGCTAATAGCGCTACATTGCAATGTGGCTTAGCTCGACCCAACTGAGTAACTAGTCAACAACATAAGTGTTTCCTCTGCAGCGCCCCGCGTAGGGGGGAGCTCGCTACGAGATCATTTCGATATGTAATGCGCGTCACACTGTGTGCGCCAACAGGGATTCTATTTTCGGCTAATGATTTTCCTTGCGTATCCCTTCGATCCTGCGGATTGACCGTGACTAATGCTTGCGCGTTCAACATGTGTTTATTGTCTTTCTGGCGTGTGGAAACGGTCTCTGAATGATGTGCGGTTCAAATCGTTGCCCCTTATGCTTCCCTTGTGCTTCCCCTGTGCGAGTTTGTCTTTATGTTTGTGTTTCAATATTAATCCGTGTGTATCCGCGTCCTCCATGTGCGTCCTTGCGCCTCTACACTCACTGCCCATCAACATTATCAGCATTATCGTGATCATCAACATCATCACTATCTTCAAATATGCTTATCATCAATGAAGTCGAAAAAGAACAGACATTTTGTCTCGCAACTCAGTTCGCCAACAGCTACAAATAGCTATCGAACCCCCAATCAATCGTGGTCGTCTTTTATAAAGCACCCGTTCCTCTTCGATGCCGGCCTTTTTGAAAGATGCGAGAGGAAGCATAGGAGGCCTCTGCTATCCAATACGTCGATCTATCCGAGATACAGTACATCAAATTGGGGTGGAATCTACGAGTAGGGGACAGAGAGAGGGAGAGGGGAGAAAGTGAGATAAGGATCTTATCGGTTGCTATTCCTCAAAAGGACTCCGTCTGTACTGACGGAGCTACCGCACAGATATCTGCACAAAGCTCCCATTGGCGACCAGACGTCTTTACGCGATGCCCTTTACCCGCCCCGTCGTACCATTTATTTGCATTCGTTCGTTAGCCCGTGTACAAATTGTTATGCTGTGTACGTAGATGGAACTTAAGGGTAAGTATGGGCTGGTTGAGCTAAGTTGGTCATGTATCGGTTAGGCGAAACATATATAACTATATATGATTCTGCTATCGATGACTCCTGTTATGTGAATATCGCACGGTGTCAGCACGAGAAGATGTCATACCACACAACTATTATCGGGCTATAGATTGACACATACATGTATACGATTAGGAATACTCATATTCTACCAATTTTAATTTTCTATCTATTGCAATCAACAGCTATACCATAAGCTTCCACGTATATGCCCTTGATGGACTTCGTATGGACTAGAACAATTGCTTATATATTTTTTTCGACATGGCTCCCGCAACAAAGATGTCCGTTGAGTCTGTTTTGTTTGTTCAATTGTTCCTAACTCTTCTTCCATTTATGTTTCACCAGTGTTCAACTAATGTGCAAACTTGGAACATATACACATCAACTTATATATTTGTATATAATTATCTTCCCCAATTTCAGTTGAATCAAAAAACTAGCTCGCGCTATGCGATTTTTTTCTTATTATCTATTGTTCGGTAAACAAGTGCTTCTGCACCGATTGAGCAGAAGCATTAGAGAACGCGTCCGTTCCATCACTAGAATTTGACGTTGGTCAATCTGCGTGCATTTTTCATTTCACTTTACCATTTTCTCACAGACTCCAAGGATAACAAAGCGGCATTATGACGTTCAGTTGCAATATGTCATCTACCACTATGGCGATGTCGATCGGTAACGTAAAATCAATGCTTTTAAGTAGTGATTTTCTTTTTGCTAATTTTATATATATATATATATACACACTCCACAGACTGGTTTTGTTGGTGTTGATTTTTACCAGATGACCATAATCATGAGTGAACCTTCTCAGCCGTACGCTTCATGGTAATATTCGAGCAATTTTTGGTCGTTTTTGGATGTATATAGATTTTCATAGATCGTCTTCATGGATTTCAAACATTGCTACTCGCTACTGGTATGAATAATAGGTGTCATTTCTATTAGAGCTACTTTGTAATTACGTGTTCCTTCCAGCATCTATGACACGGCCATATTTTGTTTCGCATTGTACTGTTAGCACTGCGCTATTTCTAGCACGTCTCCCATTTACACGTGTTAAGGAGCCTTGCTAGCTTCTTCGTGTCGCTTCAAAGTGTCCCGAAAGGGTTTCTCTTGTTTATTGTCGTCAACATAGTAGAACAATAGAAACAACAGTAGTTCTTTAGTCACATAGTACAAGCAGTTTCGATAGATATATAGATGATTCGAGCAATTATCGTGGTCAAGAGATTCGCGTTCGGTCTATTCCATTTTCTTCTCCTTGTTTTTCCTTATAGCATATATGACACGCCCGATGCAGATTTGACTAGTTTGTTTACGCAGTTACAAGGCAACACCCCAAAGAATTTTTCCCCCATGTTCGCCGGTGGCCAATATGCAGGGGCAACAGTAAGCACGTTTTCCTGATTGAAAGATAAGTCATATATAAATCAACTTATCATTATTAACTTGAGTTTGCTGCGTGTTTGTGTGTGTGTGTGTGTGTGTGTGTCGGCCGCCAAAAGAAGGTAACATGACCCTGATAATAGTGGTTATAAAAAACGAATATCTATTGAAAGTGTCCGAGGCTAAGAAGCTTCGCTGGCAGACGCGGTAGGTCTCGCATTGTCTACTGACACCGATATCACGTATGGTCAATTAATAATCATTATAATAAACTTAAGCAAGGAACAGACGTTAGTTATACAGGGAGATGTTCAATATGAAGTGTCTTGAAGTGTATTGTAAAAAGGATTAGTAAGAAAACTACCCATGAATAGAAGTTGACATCGCCGCAGGGCCGTAGTCTAAAGGAACATCCAACTTGAGGCAGCACTCCTTAATTATAATATATCAATTCAAGTACGTATGGATCAATTCAAATACGCATCGACACCATGATACACGGTGCTGAACACATAAAGGTAGCCCCAAGAGTCTTCCTGCTAGTTAATAAAAATTCGGACCGAAATACAGCCGGGCATAATGTTGAACATTACCTGAATGTTCCAGTTGATTTTTTTACATTTACATGTTTTTCCTATTTTCGAAGATACACACATATCGGACTAAGTCAAGCCAGCATACACATTAAACACACCTAGCAGGGTAAGCGAGATTTGCGTTACAAACGGATGTCGTGCTTCAAAATTGTTCGCTATCGGGTACTAGAATTGAAATAATTGAAATACTGTAAACGTTAAGTTAGTTTATTTCAGATGGAATAAATGATCTGTGACGACAATCATTAGATAATAAAAAAAAAAAAAACGTATTATTACTACAAGAACAATTACAAGAAAATCGCAGCGTCTCGTACGAGAGCGTGCTCAGTGAACTTTTCGATAAGAGAGGAATGGACAACAGAGCCGCCTCAAAAAAAGACAGCCAGCCTTTAGAAGCAAAACTACAACAACATTAATCTGACAACTTAATAGATTGCACTTCATCGCGTTCTCGTTCTCTCTCTCTCTCTCTCTCTCTCTCTCTTGAGATATATATATATATATATGTATATATGAACACCGTGTTAATTAAATGCATAGCAAAAAAATATTTTGTCATCGCGGCGTCCAAGAAGAATAGTAGATAGTCAAAGGCAAAGGTGTAAATTTGGAAATTTGGATAGCTTTTGAATGAATGAAGGAAGGACCTTCAGCAGACGAGCTCTATCCGTCGTTGGAAAACATCTTTGGAAGACGACGATTACCATTGCATTCTCACAATCCTTTTCCGCGTCAGCATTTCCGCATGATTGGAAAACGAAAAAAAGCATGGCCGATTGTGTAGGAATGGACTGTTCGTGCTCATTTCATTTGTTTAGCTAAGGATACATAGGTATGTCAGTGGATAGTATTAGAGAAATTTCGAACTGATACGGCGGGCGGCTAAAAATAGCATCGGAAAAATAGCGTACATGATAATTTTGGCTTATCAGGAAAGTGCACAGAAAAACACAAGTAGGAAAAATAGAAAATTTCTTCAAAAAAATAGAATATATATACACTGTAGTTAAGTTACACCGGCGGCGGAAGGAGCGTTTATCCCATCAGCAAAACGCATGGCATGTAATCTTCTCCATTTTTCTACATATAAATAAAACATGATTATATATCGTTTTGGAAAGTCGTTCGTATCTGAGCGCGTCACTATTCGTATGTATATCGACCACAGGTGATGTCTAGCACAGAAAAGAATGTTAGAGAATTATCATGTAGAGCTGCAATAAAATCATCGACGCTTGACAAAGCGAGGTCGTTTTCATTGTTTGATCAGTGATGGATCAGTTTTATGCGCTGAGATCTTAATTCCGATATTTCACTGATGTTCCTGACAATAGGTTTTGCACGAAGGGTACTTCTTGAGGTCAGGCAAGTGACATCATGGTATGGCAACAACATAATAATAACAATCTTGACAGATACTTGTTTTATAGTTGTACCCTTCTGATCGTGCTGACTTTTAATTCAATGGCAATAGGGTACCGACCTATATTAGATTGTTTTGTCTTTTATGAAGCATTGCAGGGGCGCGTTACGACCGTTTGTTTCCTTCGTAGGTCATTTGGCCATTTTGGATATAAATGAGTACTCTACTGACTGACCGACAAACGAGGTGATCCTGTTAATCAGCTGTGTTCACATGATCCGAAGCTTGGATATTTGTTCGAGTACGATCTACAAACGTCTTTTTCTTTGCAAATACCGAAGCTAAATCGTATTTTAATAACGCTATCCGCCTTGCCTTTGCCACGAGTCGATTAAAATTCATGGAACAATACGAGCACATCATGGCAATGGCAACACGTAGATATATAACTGAGCCTTTACTACATTTGTTGAAGTCAACTTCCCCTCCCTGCTTCGCAAAATAACAGAACGACATTTTCTCGTCAAGTCAAAGATTTCTTAACACAAATTCATGATCCACGATCTTATTCATTCGTACCTCGCAAGAGCTTCGAGTCGTTCGTGTAAATTCTGCAGTCAGCTGCTATACGAATAAAACGGCCAGCGCACAAACGACAAATCCCTCTACCAGTAAACAATATTCAGTCGACTTTATCTGATCTGAATAGCATCGATATGAATTTACTGCGCAGAAGCAGAAACTTAATGTATTATGTTAGCTGTCGCCTGTCGGGTACCCTATTGACCCTGTATTGACCCATGTGGCTCGTTTGCTTGTTTTTGCGTAATTGGGTTTTTCCTATGCTGCCTTTGATAATCTTCTGAAATGTATCCCTTGGCTATGCTGCTTTCGTACATATGGCCGCTTCTTGACTTTATATCCAAGATCAGTTATTTCGGCATTGTTCACCTATATAATCCGTATCTTATTTTCTCTAATTTACCTAAAGCTCCAGACCAATACACCGGTTAACATCGAAGCCCATGAACAGACGGCATCTGAAGTGTTGTCCTGGTCGACTGCCAACTTCGAATGCCTCGTAGCTTTTTAGCTTCAAACTGTTTAGACATAGAAGACATCCATGACCGATGCTTCGGTCGTCGTCCTGCCCATATGCAGTCTGCCAGCCATTCCTGGCGCCGTGCCTCTACCAGCCTCAGCCGTTTAGGAGTGTGGACTATACCGTATCTCCTTTCCAGTCATGTTTTTCATCTGCTAACGACGCCTACCTCGTACAGCATTTTTTTAGCTTTGAAACACGGCGCGCAATAAAAGTTAATGTCTAGCAGCATGTTTGTTTTTCACTGCGCCGGTCAATATGCTCGTTTTCTCTCTCCTCCCCCGTTGATCCTCGCACTCAGGTCCCCCAATGCTCCTCTCACAAAGTCGTTCGCCCCTCAAAATTCATTAATGGTGATGTACTCTCCAAGCGTTCACAATACCGTATGGCTTATTAATACTAAACTCTTAGGGCTCGAGTACACAATGTGCCAAACGTACGCCAGCCACATTCTGTTCATCGTTTCTATTCTCGACGCCACCTTGGCATTGGTTAACTGTCAGACAAAAAAACCAGCCCAAACCCCATTCCCTCGTTCTTGTATAACCATGACAGCGTGCTTTTAATAACAATAATAAAATGAATTATAATAATAATCGATCCAATAGAAATTCAAAAAACAACAGTTTGTGTCGACCTCTGACGGACGGCCATCCGGCCGGTTTCAATAATCATAATAATTAGAATAATACCCGCCTTATGCACTCACTTACATTTCATCTATATCGACGCATTTGTTATTATCTCCAATGTTTTTTGCCCCAAATATATAATGGTGATACACGAATATATATATATATATAGCCATATATCATGTGTCACCGTATGGTTTCCGTTCTCGCACCATGTGGATATCCCCTACCATCTGTATGATCTTCTCTCGGCTAGATTGGCATGGGTTCTATTCTCCATGTCTATTTGCAATAATTCTTATACTCTCCGTACACCATAATAATCATAATACTAATAATAATTGTTATTATAGATTCATCAGCAATCATTGTTATAACATATAGTCTATATTCACAAGTGCGCTGACGTGTCCCTTTTCCAATTTTATTTCATTCCGCCGAGAATCAGGTTCTCCTAGAGGTGTCAGGGTCGACGTTATTGCCGTCGCTTCCATTCGAACTACCGTTAAATTCGCGGTTTTTGCTCAATTTCCGCCGCCCACCCTCGACTTTTTTTCTTTGCCTCATTTTATCTTTTTCTTTGTCTTTTAATGATGAGATCGATACTATTCCTCGCTAGATGCCTTAACATTCGTCTCTACCGGCGAGAACAGCCAGTCAATTGTGCGCAATAAGCATAGCTATATTGCGTTACAGTGGGCTCCCTTCAGTGATATAGGGCGGGAAGCATTGTGCGGTCGGAATCGGCGGTTTTATGGAGGAGAACGTTCGTTGTCACAACTGTTCATCGACGATATCTTCGCGGCCTGCGCCGCAGCTTCTGACTGAGGCGCAACTCCTGAGATGCAGTCAACGCTAGACTGTACGCGTTGGTCCTTACAGTTGGCTGTTCGTAGGGGCGTTCTTTTTCAGATAAAGGTACGGCGGCCACTATCCGGATCCAATAGGCGCCTAACTGTGTAGTGACCACCTATTTCTTTGGTGTCGCATGGAATGAATGGTTGAAACACACTGTCGATACGGCCTCTGCCAGTGTTTGAACTCGACCTAGTAAGGTAACTAAACGTATTATCCATCAGCGGGCGCGATGGACGCTGAGCTTTGCTCTGCTGTAAGATAATGTGGCGCATCTGAAGCGCTTTTTCTTGAAGTGGAATGAAGAACGGTACAGAGCGGCATGATATCTTCCTCTTCCGCCGATCTGACGAAGGGATCAACCACGATATGCATATTCTTGCCAAGCTCAACGTTGCATGTTAGAACAATAGCCACTAGTCACTTGAAGTTTCTGAAGATTTTTCAATCTGCCTATTACTTGCTGGCGCAGAAACTTTCTGTAACTACAGTAATTTTTCTACAACATCTTCGGCGGTAATCTAGACGAGTCGATCGCCCTGAAGTGATGGAAGATTGTTAAGACTATGATGTGAAGACACCTGTAGTAAGAGAACGCATAAATAGATGACAAGTTAAGGCAAATATAAAAGCAAAACCTTCAACTTAAAGGGAAGCTTTTCTTAACTATTATATATTAATAAGGTCAAAGGACGGCGCTCTTCAGCGTTCCACGTTATAGTATCGTTTCAACAGACAAAAAATATGTTTCTGAAGTATGGGTTCTCCGAAAACTTTTTAGTTTATCAGTACAGTACGAGACTCTAGGGCAGCCAAGACCTTTTACAACAATCTTTTTAAGACTGCCGGAAATTATCGATCTGATGATACCATAACCTGTTGTTAACTTTGCTAATTGTTATACTTCTTTTACGTGTTCATTTACTTTTGTATTTGAAACAGCAGCAACCTTTAACTCTGAGGAATTGGGCTATATTTTTTTGACGGTACCCATTTTTGTGAAGACAGATACGCTCCGTAATGAATGCAGTATATTGTAACACTGAAATAATACCCTTAGGCTTAGGCTCGTTAATTAAATCTTACCCTGTTTTCAGGATTTCCCGGTTGACCGGACCCTACAACTCGTTCTGTACCATGAGCGATCAACTGATTGAACTCCATTTCAAGGGTTTCCCGAGCAGCTGTATTCTGCGACGGGATCTGTAATAGAATGGCCAGAGCATTGGCATCGAACGCCTGCAATAGTCAACAAAATTTACATGACCATGTTATGATGAGCTTCCTTTAGTTAGGACAGTTCCCCGCACGGAATACGAACCATCAAAAGGACCCTTTATGTGTAATAGTCTGTAATAGGATCCTGGTCTACCATCATCCTGAGCGTCGTCATGCCATGTACGGAATGCAGGTCACCAAAAATAACGCCTTGTCCTAGAAGCAACAGCGCTATTTGGGAGTCGTACTCTCGTATAACATCATCGTTTGCATTTGTACGTACTCTTGTCAAGTAGTACTATCACACGCTGCTTCAAGCAAGTCGCCTATAAATAGACCTCACGTGGAAGGAAAACAGTTGTACTCGCACATTTGTGAGGTTACTAATGAAGGCTTTGTGGTGAATGTAATCTTCCCGCCCAAAAATTGAATTAACTGTTCCTATTCCTAGCTCATACCTCGTCAAGCGCGATGAGAGCGCCATGGACGCCGCTTTCGAGGTGGAGGTTGCCAGCAAACTCCCTCAAACCGATTTGACCTAGCCATCGCATAACTCGTTCGTTTGACCAGACCAGTACATCTCGCGATGTCTCGTGTTCTGCTAGACGTCGCCTATATGCAAGGAAGAACATACAAATAGAAAACGTCACTTCTGTGATACCAATTGGTATTTCTAGTATGTGCGAAGACCTTCATATCAATTCCGTAATACTTATCCTAATGCTGTAAGGAACAAAACAGTATTTCGATACTATTGCACCATTAAATTACTCGATACTTGGAGACGAATTATAAATAACATCGTATACGTACCGGTGCATTTAGATGAAACAGAAAAAGTGTTTTGTTTATTGTAGTACTAGTGAAAAATTCTATGATTGTAACCGTTGACAAATTGATACACATCCCTATAGCGAGCAATTCAATGTCTATAATAAATGAATTAATATAATCAGGTGCAGCTATAACAGAACTGAAATTTGAATGCCATGCATTATATGCATCCATGTTGCTAACAGGTGTACTTTAGGGCAACGGGGCACCGAAAAATGGTCGTTCATTCATACCGTTCTTCGAGCTGTGCGCGGTCAAAATTAAGCCGTTTGAGACACTGAAATCCACATGTCAATGAGATACGATGAAGATTGTCCACCATCTTCAAATGGACCCGTAGATCTTTCTTGGTTAGGTGCTCTAGCATGCGAGCGTCGACTAGGCATTCCATGAAGGCTGATCGATATTGTGCCAGGCCTAGAGAAGGTAGCCACTCGTTCCCTAGCCACTCGTGGTTCATTTCTCCAAACGCAAGTCCACTGTTTCCCACACCAATGCCCATTAGTAGAGGTTTAGCAGGTCCAACACCATGAACAGGGCCACCAGCCTGACCCGCAGGCGCTGTCAACGCAACCATTTCCTGCGTGCAATTTGGGGAAAAACAAATAAACATGAGCGATAGATATATATATCGATTAGCTATCATTCACGATCTATTTTCAATAAACGATATGTATCGTATCACATATCATTTGAGCAAGGTACCACTTTATTGCAGTATAGAGAAGAGTCCTTCGAATATACGAACGTAGTTGAATTTCCATATGGCTTAAATCGAAAATCTTATTCGTATATACAAGATTATTTAGTAGCATTAATAGTAGTGGTCACAATAGAAGGATTCGTGTAGTACGGTACCGTTGCAGTGGACAATTTCATTGGTAGCTCTAAGCTTCCACTTTTGCGTTTTCTAAATACTGCATTCCTATACGAACACTGTTCTATTAGCTGAAATATTGAGGACCAAGTACTCCGGCGGATGGCTAATTGGAACTGCAGTTTAGGTGCCTTCTGTAAACAGGACTTTAGGGCACGAGCAGGATTAAGTAAACTATTTGAATGTCATACACGCTAAACATTACCTGAATGGCAAGTCTAAGTTTTAGCCGATGTAGGGGGTTACTAATCCCGATTTCTCGCTGAATCTCTGTGTCGGACAATGCGGACATGATTGCACCGGATTTGACGTTTGCCCGACAAGCCGCTACGTACCATGGGGGCATGCCAACCCATAGCTCAAGCCAGGCGACTATCGTTGGGCCGTTCCATAAGGCGAACGGCGTTCCCGCCTATGCATTAGATTCAATTAACAAAATAATAGAAGCTCTGCGCTAGGTAGTTTCACAAGCAGGAAGGACAATTATCATGGCTTATTCTAATGTATAAATATCAAAATAATGTCAATTAAACTGTTTCAGCGAAGTAATTAAAATGATTGACTATCTCACAAAATGAACCAGATGGCTTTAGTCTTAAACGAAAATTCGGTTGTTGGAACAGAAATTCGGAGCGGAATTTCCCAGCTTAGCTGAGTCAGAACTTTTATTCTCCGCTGACAAAAACCTAAACCCTAAGCTTTGAGTTGTCGAACCTTAAGTGACTCAATAAGCAGGTCGTGCTTATTCTTCGTACGCCGGTCAACTGTACTCTGGTTGTCTTTTCCACCGCCGCGCGCGAAACCTGCGAGGTCCCGCGACGAAATCGACGCTGTTGGCGAGGCCAATCCTGACGCCAGACCCGAATGTGTTCCGACAATGTCACTACACGAACCATATTCGCTATCGGCGTACATCTGGCTAATTCCCACCACTGAGGAATTACCAAAATAGAAGATTAGCAATGTTTGTGAATAAGAAGTATATGCAACCAAATTTGAAAAATCGGCAGGCGGGAAGCTAGTGGCCTAAAATAGAGTATATGCGTTCCACTAGCAGATGATGACATAACCGATTTATTCTTTTTGCTCTATGCGTATGTGTATCTTTTTATATGTGTACTATACCATCTGTATTATATATACTATGCTTTTATACATATGCCGTTTCTCTTTATGGTTAACCCTGCTTTGAACCTGACGCAAATGGGAAGCACTGAATGTCCTGCGGAACATGTCATGTTAGCACACCGACCCGTTAGGTTACTTACTCGAACTACTCTTTTTATCCTTCTTGGTGAAAAGGCGTCCAAACGAACTTTTGATCCCCTTATTTTTCTTCTTACCCGAGAGTGATTCTTGGCTAGTAGCCGTACTGAAAATACGAATAGCATAACATCATACGATTGTCGGATAGTAGAAAAAATCCTGTTACGCATATTGCGCTCAGCAGGAACATCTCTCCATTTACACAGACGAAAAATAAGATATAATCATTCATCTACGGTGGTAACCTATAACCCACCAATGAATTACTTGTCAAATACCAGAAATCAATGCTAAATCGCACCAGCTTTCAACGCTTCTCATAAAATCGCGGGCGTCGAGTATGCATTCATACCTCTAACTATTTACTAACGCGTTCATTTACCGCAACCTTAATTGACACCGACGGAGATATCCCTGATCGTTTTCACTGCAACTAATATGCTAGTCACTATATAGAACCCCGCACACAGACTGTTCCTATAGGACCCAGAACAAACTGTTCCTATAGGAACCTTTAGATAGTCTGCCTTGAAACTTAAAACTTCCAACAAAGTTAGTTTGAACAATGACTGGAAAATTCTTCCGAATATTCTTAACGGCAAATTCCTCTAATACCTCATTCCCTCAGTAGGCGTATGCAATCCGCTCAACTCTCGTTGCATGAGCATGTTAGATTGCTGCTGTTGCAGCTGGCGTTCGGCGATGATCTGCGCCATGGTGCGGCTCTGAGCTAATGGCCGATGTTCGCCTGGAGGTCCGTGGTAGGCGACACCCCCTACGGGCACGCCGCCCGCAGACCCGGCGCCCATTGCGGCCGGAGTCCCTAGACTACTCGGAGGCCTGGGATTGACCATCTGTTGCATCTGCTGGTCCAGTGGATGTCCCCCAGCTCCAACTGATTGCTGCGCCGACGACGCCTGCTTCGATTTTGGGTGAATGAGAAAAGTCCAACAGAGAGATCACGTTAGATGGCAGGCTGAACAAGAACTAAGAGGAAAAAACCCGTCGGAGTATGCGAGTCGATCGAAATGAAGAAGCCTGTATAGCCACTACGAAACACTGAACTAGGGGAGAGCAATGAAGCACGAGGACATTGAAACGAAAGTGAGATACCGGCTTTATGCAGCGGTCGATTTGTACATGGATGAAAGATGTGATGCAACTTTTCGTGATTACCAATTGTGACATGAGTATGACAGAACATGAATAAGTACGAGCCAAACAGCGTTTTACGGCTATATTTCAGTCCTCTCCTACTACTAATGGAAAATGTAATGCAAAATTCTCCTGTCTGTGTTCAAGGTAATAATGTAAATGAAGCTTTGCACATAGAATTGACTCAATCAGTAGGATGAGATAGACAACAAACATCCGGAAAAGGGTGGTTGTCTTTTTCTGTATAGCAGAGTTATAATATAATAAAAATTAAATAAGAGTTATAATAAGAGTTATAATTAAATAAGAGTTATAATAAGAGTTATAATAATTATATAAAAGCAAAAACCATATCACATTCTTATTATATAATAGTGCTTAGTTATGAGCACTCATTATATAATAAGGCGCGTCAAGATTCGACGAGGATGACACTGACAAACAACAAAGACAAACACAGTTATGCATAAAATAAAACCAAACAATGTTACCCAAATCAGTTTACATTAATCAGCGTTCATAGTTTTCCTCAGTATAACTATCAGCTAAAATCTATATGATTAATTAATCATTGATTTCGACTATTTTGCCTTAGAAAACTGCAACGATTGAGGCATCAATCAGTTTCGCCTGATTAGCTACACAGACACACAGAGAACAACACACACTTATCCTAGTACCGGAGATCGATAATTTCGAATTTTTCAGCGCCAACTTTTATCACCCTAACTATATATATACATGATCACTCACAATGCTAGACTAGCTGCTGTATTCGCTCGATCCTGTATGTGGAACTATGACATGCAGAGGTGAACTCGATGGCTACGGATAAAGCCTACATACAACTGAGCCATACAAACCCCAGCCGACCGCTGAAGTCGCAACATCAACAAATTCACCAGAAATGTAGCGGATTTTAGCGACAAAACGTCTAACAGCTGATTTATTTCCTAAGGTAGCATGTCTCAGAAGATAAGCATCAGATATTGCCCGGGTTGGGAGACGGAAATCCAATTCCCGCTAAGAGTAATCACGAAACATAAGCTAATTTGTTTACGGAAACGCTGGGTCACATATGCAACTGACCGCTAAAATCCAATATGAAGCTATTCGCCGTAAAGCATTCATTCATGAAGGGACTCGTCAGTTGTAAAAGCTATGGTCGACCACAATTAAACCACCATTTACATCGATTATTGTGATTAGCTTTCTAAATAAATGGTTTCTCGAGCAGGTTCGACCTTCTTCCGTCCATGCGGCCTGATTAGTTGGATAATAGGCACGTCCTAGATCGCGCGCTTTCTATATCAATATGTATCTGTCAGACAAAATTCATTGCGTTTTCAACGTTTATTCAGTATGTGCAAAGCTATTATTGTCACTATTACGGTATCATATTCCCCTTAGTACTGGATGTCCAACGGCCGCGTTGAAAGGCCAGCACAGTCTTCCTTCGTTGACGCGATACCGGCCTGTATCTCCGCTAGCCAATTAGGCAAGGCTGTTGTCATCCAGATTTAATGAACCGCAAACGATGCTTTATTGGATCCCTCCATGTTTCCCTATGTATGACCTGCTTTCACTGAGTATTTATATATATATCACATAGAGACGGCAACTGGTACTGATACAAGGGTATCTGTATAGAACTGAATATTAAAACTACAGAGTAATGAAGTAACGCAGCCTATATTCATACGAAAATTAAGATCGTCTTTTCATGTTACTATATATTCAAACGTACGCTGTATATACGGACGTACAAAAGACTGTATGCCATCTAACGTTGAATGAATTCTTTCTACGCGGTATAATTGTTATAGTCTAAGGTTGGAATTGAACGGTATATTGGTTAGAAATATTCGTTTATACATCTGACCTACCAAGGTTTTATTAAAGCGAAACTAACACAATTTATAATAATGAAAAAAGCCAGAGATTTCAGTTTCGCATATTTAACGCTGCATTACACGATAGCTAGGAGTATCAACTGTTTAAAGGAAACAACATGTTAAACGACAAATACGCAAAAATGGGCCCGTCAAATTTCCTGTCACAGTCAACTGAAACTTCACACATTCACGACCCGAAAATGAGTGCCTTTGTAACATTTTTGGTTACAAATATCAGTCTTTTGCTTGTTGCCCTCACCTGTTGCTGAGCCTGTGCCGCCGATATGAGCTGAGAGCGATGCCAAGAATCGGCGACGCGCGACTCCAACTCTTCAGCCCGTTGTTCCGTATTTTCCTTATAAGAGCAGTCGAGACAGGGAAAGCGATCGATCGGAGCATAAATCAGTTAGTTGCTCTACAAACATAAAGGACACCCTGTCATGCGCATCGCGCGCACACTTTAAGTTCCCTTGGGGTTAATTTGTCGAAGTGAAAATCGAACTGCGCCAATCCGACATTCAAATAATGCCAACTTCCGCCAAGGTACGCTACTACAAAATGGTGATATATTGCAGTCGAAAGGAACCAATTAAAGCGTGCCTTGCAGGTGGTACTGGGCGTTTGCACTTCTAAAATTCTACCTATCAACGAACGCGTACCTCATAGCTACCCCGGTAGCCAGGTTTTAAGAGTTTCAAGAGCCGTAAGCTGTGAGATGCTTCTGGCCCTGGAGAGTCGATCCAGGGGAAACCTATCGAGAAATGATCACGTGCTGTGGGTGACGTTTAGCTTCTCTTGATTCGTAATCGCGTCTTATTATATGTGCAGGGGGAAATAATGAGCCCGTGTATGCATAAGAGCTGTGCACTTCACCCAACACCTCGCATAACAAAATCTCTTCATTTAAATTTACATCCCAAATATATCTATCTATACGTTATATATCTGGCTGCTATGCTTCATAAAGGTCAACCAACCTCAAAGTGACCAAATGTAGAATACCAAGGTATGCATGCTATAGGTCTACCTTTTCTTCCTGAATGAGCAGAATCTCGTTGTTGATGGCGTCCAGTTGTTCCTGAAGCATCATAGCCAGGGCCTGGGCGTCGCTCTGGTCCACCGCGGGGTCTCCCATCAGCCACTTGCTGTCTACGACTGAACCTCCGTCTTTGGCTCCCACTACTTGATGGCCTCCTGCTCCGCCACCCACACCGCCGTGATCCAGACCATTCGACAACGAGGCATTCGCGTACTCCGTTGCTATTGTTATATAGTGAATCATTAGCATACGAACAAGACACCCATATAAGTATCAAGTGTGATTTTGCAGAGAGAAACTTTCCTTTAACCTTTATGATTGTAGTTTCGCAATCTTGCTTAAATGAGATCTTCTAGTCCAGACACCTCTAACCTATTACGATCGGTGACGTTTATTCAAGACATTCAAGGTTCAAGAGGTGTGCTAAAGCAGAATAAATGAATAAGCTTTTCCAGTTTTACGTCCTATTATACCACCTTAGGTAACAAATACTGCTGGCTCTTTTTAGGATCAAACGAACCCCCGCGTCTATACTCGATTTTAGGTCCAGACTACTCCATCTCATTTGTTGTCCCTGATTTTATTAGTACATGAAAATGTTTTACCATTACGGGAACAAATATCAGAAGTAGACCACCGAATGGCGGGTAATTCAGTACTTCTTCTCTTAGAAATCATCTTCCTCCCTAAGGATGAATTTTGTCATGTACATAAACCGCACCAACCCCATTGATTGAAACGGTCACTCACCCATGGCGTGCGCATTGGCAAGCTGCTGTTCGTGGAAGTGCTGCATATGCACCATCTCCTGACGCATTCTGTCGACTTCATGTAGCAATTTGCCCTTATCAAGCGCCGCACCTTCAGACGCCTTGCGCAGCTGGTCAAGTTCTTGCGCCAAAGCATTCTTCTCTTCGAGTGCCTGCATTCGCTCTCGGAGTTGCGCCTCAAGCCGCTCCTTACTTTCGGCGAGCAGCTTGTCTACAGTACTACTCAGCTTTTGACTATGTTCTTCATTCATTTTTTCTCTTTGACGAGCACGGCTCAGCTCTTGCGTCTTCTCCTCGAGCGCCGCCTCGAGTCGAGTTAGTCGCTCTTCCAGGCGCTTGTCGACAGGTTGCACTTTGCCCTGACCCCCGCTGCTTCCTTCACCCTGACCGGTCTGAGCCTGGGCTGCCTCGACAGCGGCGGTGGCCGCAGCTACCTCCTCGATCAATTTCTCTTCGCGCGCAGCAGCGGACAACAGCTTTTCTTCTGCCACCTGATCCAGTCCGAGATCGGATGATCGATGGAGTGGTAGATGGTAACGGATGAAAGGAAAAGATTTAAGATATTGAGACACGAGAACTGGGACGAGTAAGAAAATGAGATTAGTATTGCGTAGTATTGTAGTTCAGTCTGTATTAAATGTTTTGGAAATGGATTCACTTTAAAATAATTTTTTTCACTTCATACAACTGTTCGATTATTCTAAATGTTGCTAGACGGATTATTGTCGTTTTTTTTGTTATGCTGCTTGGTTGTAGAAACAGGGAAACTTTCTCCCTTTCTTTGTTCACGGACTAAAGTGGACCATCCCGAAAATGCGATAACGTCTTCATATAAAATCGAGCTTCTGCAACACCTCCTGCGTGCATATGCGCAACAGGTTCGAATCGGCGCTCCTTAAACTAGTCATTTAGGTGGCGTCCCTCGGATAATTATTAACTTCCATTATCCATAAGTGTCATGCCCAGCATTCTCTAATTTACTTAATAGACTTAATGCAATGCTAAGTTCAACTAAGCATAAACTGCAATAGTGGAATGATACTTCCATACAGAGAAACATAATTTTTTTAGCTAACTCTTGAAACGAATTTAAAATTCCGCCATTAAAATCAATTGATTGCAGTAATATTACCTTTGAATAATGGAACTGCTACACGGCCTGACAGACCGATGTTAAGGGCTATAGAGATAGCTGTTTTCACATCTTCGAAAATCGCTTTATTTATACCTAGCACATCTAAAGGGTTAAAAAAACTCTTACGTCTTCGAGACGGACCCCTCGACCAATTCTTTGTTCATCTATCAATGCATCGCGACTCACCTGCAGTCGTTCCTGCAAGGACCGACATCGCTCTTCGGCCAGTCGAAGCTGGGCCTGATGCGCAGCGACCTCATGCTCGAGCTTCTCCTTGACATCGTTCAGTGACACAGATTCCCTCTGAGCATTAAGGCAACGCTTCTCCAATGTCGTAATTCGTTCCTCCTGATCCTCTTTTTGGGCGTTGTTCTCGGCAAGGTCACGGCACAGCCGCTGGTTCTCCTCCTTCATCTGAAGCAGATCTTTCTGCGTATCCCGTAAAACCTGCCGAGCGAACCGAATGATGTTACCAGCATGAGTGTCAAACAACGGCTTCAGGCCACAGGATGAAGTCTATTGTGAGATTAGGGACAAGGGAAACAGGAACACATCTTACATAGGCGTGACAATACTGCCAGCATCCCCAGCAACAGAACAACTATTCAGAAAATTCATTTAAGAGCGGCCCTTTTGCATAGGATCTCGACTATCGTTCCATTATTTTCTACCGGCATTTAGCAGCATCTTCTTTACAAGAGGAATATACTACGCGGGTTGAAGCCATTGTTCAAATATATGGTGAACCCAAGCATGTAGAGACCCAGCCACACACTAGGTAGGACGTATTATACTAGTTAAGCAGCTGGAATTCACAGAAGATAATTAACTGGGCTCATTTTTCAAACAAATTAGCTAGGTATATTTTCTTGGCAAAAGTCAAATATCGTTAAGCGATAGCACTTCGCTATGGTCACACGGTTTGATGAAGTAGTACTTTCTCTCTGTCTTATAGAAATATTATCACTATTTTCAGCTATATACCTACTAGGCCGTAAGGTTTTAGGCACTTCAAGCATAACATGCAAGCTGTGAGACCCAGTTAAGGACTACAGAACAAGAAGAGTCAGCTTAGCAGAGGGTACAACACGACGATCGTCACAGCTGAAATTCATTTCATCTATGAGAATGATAGGAGAATTAGAGCTTTATTCGTATTTCGAAAGAGGTAGAAAATGCTTGATTTTTATTTTCTTCTTCTTTATGCATAAGCATTGCCGTAATAACGTATATAGCTGGCTAGTATAAATATAGCGATAGGTTTTGCACCTTCGAGTTCGATGGGAGTAGCGTCGATGTAACGCAGAAGACGTTGAGTAAAGAAGTATTCGAAAATTCATCATTGATCTTTGAATCCTACTGGCATTTTTAGGTCGAACCCGAAATTAATCAGCAGTCGATATAGTTTTGTCTTTGGAAGTAAAGAAACAAGCTAGGTCGATGTCTATACCAATCACGTGCTAGAATAAAATTAATTTTGCTCAAAGCGTTGCAATGATACCAACCTTTTCCACAAATACTACCCTCAAGAATAGGGCGGAGGTATGATAGATCTCATATGGTATCATCCATTGAAACTTTTTTTCGTACTCATTTTAGAGATAGTGGATGGAAAAAGATGGTGGCTTTTACCTTGGCCGGTTCCATGGACAGAGAGGCTAGCTTTAGTAGTATACGACCAGTTTTTGATGTATTGATAAAACCCGTTTCCGTCAAAGCTCATTTTGAGCATGACTTAATTTATCAGAAATACCAATGTCTAATCGGTCTAACGTGGTAATATGGATGACCAATAATAGAGCGAAAACGCACGAAAATAACGAATAACAATAAAAATTCTTTATGCCGACGTATAATATTTCTACTTGGCCAACGTTAGTTAGCCTGTGTGCCAGAGGCCAGTGGAGACATTGGCCTCTGGCACACAGGCCAAAGGTCAAAGCCAACAGGTCGATCTAACCATGTGCATACTAAGTCATAACCGAAAAATCTAGAAAGGTGGAAAAGAAGCCAAAATGATACCTATAAGCGAAAAGAAGAAGAAGGCAGTGGCAATGTAGTCGCCAATGTAACACACATTCTTATGTTTTGATAATGTGTTGCTTATATTCGGCAGCATCACAATATTTGTCTTTTGCATAGTTTCTACTTCTGGATCAGACAAGGGGGAAACATTAATTCAAGACCATCCATTTCTGGTTATCTATAACCTGCGCACGTGCCGCGTGCTTAACCTCATTGTAGGCGGCCATTTTATTCAACTAAGCTCTGCCTTACATTACTGTGAGTCCGAACTGTGCTTACATAAGAAGAACATGTCAACTTGTGGCAAATATGGGACACCTTCGAAACTAACTCAGACGACAATAGGCCCGTTGTTCGAAGGCGTCCTCTGTTGTGAATTGTAAAAACGACTAATTCGGTTCGCCTGCCAGTTGTACTGACTTTTTGATTTAGACCCTTTAAAATATTCGATGTCTAAATTGCATTCATTCAAAAATCACAACTCCGCCAACGTCGTTCCGTTGCCTGGATCCCTCCGTCTCCACCCTGTTTCTAGCCTGTTCAACCTGCATATACTGCTGCACCGTATCGCACTTTGTACCCCATGCACGTACTATAAATGCCCAGAGTTGCACGCTCCATTCATAAAATAGGACAAAACGTCTATTTACGTATCGTCTAGGCTCATTTTCCTACATACTTCTTCAATGTCCCGGCACCTCGCCTTGAGCTCCACTATCTGACCTCGGCCGCGAGCTAGCTCTGCAGTTTGCCGTTCGAGTTGTGCTTCCAATTCCTGCACGTCGTTTTGCACGTTGCTTCCGTTTGCATTGTTATTTTGACCAACCTGGACCGCATTAGTTACCTGCTGTTGTTGTTGGCCTTTTGAGCCTGCGTCCTGCTCATGGCTTTGTATAGTGGGACCACCCTGTTGTGAGCCATTGTTTTTGCCCTGACTCGATAGTTGAGACAGCTGTTCTGCGGACCGAGCAAGCTCCTCTTCAAGCTGAGAAACTCGCTCCAGGGCAGCACGGAGCCGCTCTCTCACCTAGACAGCGGGCAAAAGAGAAGAAGCAACGAAGTATGAGAAAAACAAATAATTTACCGGTATTTGAATAAAATACTACATACACGTCATGAAAAGTGACCTAAACGAACTCGAACCTAGGGCTAGACAATGCTCATTTGTTGCTCTAACATAAAGGCTATCTCAACTGCCTTTTGTAGGACTTAATCGTTAGCATATATCGTATGGAGCACTGTTTGAAACTCTACTTGAATCTTCGAAGTTGTTCCTAATATTTTCTACCGTTTAATGTGTAGGTAGAGAATAGTTATCTGGAATTAGTCAGACATCGTTCTTTTCTCCAACAAAGACACATTTTCTTTGCCGCGTCTAACGCATATCTCTAAGTACCAACGAATCAGTAACTCTAAGCGATTATTACTCATTAAACATCATTAATACGATTATATAAACGTATTAAAATTAAATTAAAGATTTCATAAATTACCTTCTCATCGAGAGCTTTGTGATGTTCGAACAGACTTTTAAGGGCTTTGAGCACCTCTACCTCAGAACTGACCCCCGCAGATGATTGCGTTTGTCGCTTTACTACGGTCATCCGAAGCGACCGCTCGTGTCTAGCCACGAGGCATTCGAGATGTTCTAGCAACAGCCGAGTATTATTTCTTTCCGCCTTGAGCTCTGTAATACCACAACCACACACGCGCCAATAAAATAAAAAAAAAAAAAAGATTATTCCGGCAGGTGGAACAAATTATTACGTACGGACGCTTTATGGTTTACCTGTTATTTGTTAGAGTACGCATTCAACAACAGATTCACTGGGAGAATTCAAATTAAACTGCATCCTTAACAAGCAAGTATTAAACCAACATGTGAAACAATATCATTTTCCAAGTCGATAATAACCCCTATGTTTCGTCTGAGGAGTTTCTAGGATACGTCAATATTCATGTAGAATCAAGTAAATAAATGTTTCTAGCTTCATACCTAAACCAGCACACGCCCCTAAGCTTAATGGGCGAACGCGTTGCCCCTGCACAATCATGGGGACATATCTAATAGGTTAGGAGTGTGCGGACTGCCTTCTTTCTCAGAAGGAAGCAATCATATCACGGAACATGATCGAATACAGAGGTCTGTCGAAGTGTTCCACTTATGGCCAACCTGTTACACGTTGACCACTGGCTGCCTTCGTAAGTTGCCTCCTCCCGGCGTTACGTGCTAAACTGATATCTTTTTGCAATAGAGACAGTCACTATTTTCCTGCGAATTATTTGTGGAACACGAAGAACGGTGCATAGGAGACTACGCTCAGGTGAACATCTTTGACACCCGGAATCGAGTTATTTGTTCCCAAAATAAATAATCCAGCCGAAATTGAACCTCCATAGCCTTTTTGGGCTAATTGAACGAACCACCGTGAAAAAACATAATCCATGAAATAACAAGTTTGAATTCTGGATGTATCACTTTCTCAGAGAGATCCCAGTTCTTTCCTAGAAAAAAGGAGAAAATGCCCTTTTCTTTCGAACGGTATGACCTTGACTACGTATTGCAGGGTCCTGTTAGTCGGCTTAACTATAGCATTCACACAAAAATGTACATCTTTCAAAAAGCGACACATGATCAGATAAAGCTATAATGCTCCTTGTCTTTTTGAGAAACCGCGTTTCTGACGCCCTGTACTTAGAATTTCGATTGAACTTGTCACCTTCACATTAGCTTGTTGCGAATACAATTCGCCAAAGAACAAAAACATCTCGGGTAATTAAATCGATTTTTGTTTATTTATTTTTTTTTTTAGATATGTAGTACATATCTGCCACCTGTGCGCATTTTTTGCATCGACCCTGCATCGACAAGCTAACGCTTTGATATATATAACGCACACAGAAACGAAAAGTTCCATTTTGACCATTTTAATAATTTTTCTACGAACTTTTTGTCGGCTATTCTACTGATATTTGAAGCGAGCAAAACACTTATCAACCATATTTAATCACGTTTTGGAGAGAAACTGTCCTAGTACTTCATATCCAACAGCCGAATGCGCGATAACCGCCTGCATTGTAAACAGCCGCCACTTGATGAGAACGGCTTTGTGACGAAGGGTCCTCTAGTTCGGTTTCCAGTCTCTCGAAAAACTACATATTCGATAGTACTCAAAGTCCATCTGCTTTCATGGATAGTTTAATAAGCTTTACTGTATTACTATTTATTATATTGTTAAATTTTTCGTTTTTTTTTAACTTAAATTTAAAAGATTGTTGTTTGTTTTTGTTCTCAAGAGGTATTCCTAAGCGTTAAATTCTGCTTGCAGCCTGTCATTGGATGTCGGTCCCCTTTAAAAAACCTAGCCTGATTCGGGAGGAGTTCAAGCTGATTGTGTGCGTATTCTAGCTTCGTTTTGTACGAATCGTGTACTTACAATTAGTTCCTACCGGGCACAGACTGCAGACTATAGTTGTGTTGAGACCTTTTAGTAATACCTGCGCTGATGAGCATTTCTCAAAGCCTATTATCCCATGTATAGTACTCCCTACAAATTTTTTATTAGCACACAACATTAATTCCATTTATATACTCAAGTAGAGGAGGTGACTCAATGGCTGTTTATTGATTTCGTTCTGATATTCCTTAATCTCCGGGTGAGTGAGCGGACGAACCGACAGCTGGAGCCTGAGGGCGATGTCTTTCTAAAAGTCTTGTTTTAGCCGTCCCTAGCAATGTACGTTACTGCTGCTGTTGCTGAAATGCAAGTTTTCGATTACTAACAAATAAATCGTTACGGGCCAAGACGCTACAACAAGCAGGTGCGAACGAGTAAGCGTAGCAAACGCGTTGTTTTCATAAGGTCCTGACGTCTAAGAATAAACCGTGGGGCGGGCGCGCTAAGGTTCTGTTGGTGTGCGATATGGTATCGCCGCTAGACGGCGCCTCATAATGGAATCACAACAGAAACACCAACGAAATATGCTTTGACGTCCTCTGTTGTAGACGTTGTTTATAAACAGATAGAACAAACTGGATTCTCAATTGGGACTCGATCAAATACACCGGAAGAAAATATATAATAGACTTATTTCTAGAGCTTTATGATGACCAGTAAATCAGTTCCGTAAGTTACACGGAAAACGGTAATGAGGGGGTGGTTTATGTTTTTAGCTGCAATTGCCTTCTAAGGCTTGGATTTTTTAGATAAGGCCCGGCAAACCAATTCTGACATAACTGCTTTAGCCTCTTTCCTCTTCAAGCTCCAAGCGTCAACACAATCCTAACCTATAGATTGCTAACTATTATTTCACCACACACACAAAAGCAGGCGGGCTTTTTTTACCTTGTCAATACGAACAAGTTGTCTCGCCTAGCTTGTTGTTAACACGTCATTGGGCGACCAGTCGCGCTGGACGATAGCATAAAGCAATCGGGCGCACTGTTAAAAGGGAACAACACGCACAAATGCCGAACGAATCGAGCCGATGCCCTATGAAGCTGTTTCGTTGGCCAGCCTCTTGGCTAAGTCGATCCGATGGGCTGATTCAATAGAAACTCTTGAAGTACCTGCAAGTTGTTCGGGTGGCTTCGAAGCAGCGAGAAAAGCAATGGGCTCTGACGAGGGCGTTTAGCAGTGCTCCTATCGTAGTCGACAAAATAGGTAGGCGGGCATTCGTGCCTGCAGCGGTATCAATGACAAGCAGCCAAATTGCTTACTATGGTTACGATAACTACTGATACACATTAGCAGGTCGTACATAAGAGTTGCAATTGTATCGTAATGAACTAAACATAGCTCGAACTACACAGACAAATAAAAACACCCCGGAAGATCCATGACGGAGCGCCTATTCATGAAAGCTCGCACTGCGATTACGAGTCAAAGAGACCCAAAACATTCGACTCTCGTAGACGTTCAAGGAACGTATGGAACGGCACAGAGATCGTGGTATGGATTGTGTTACTGCCTCGAAATAAATGGACACTAACTAATTGAAAACAAGTTATTGCATTCGAAATATTGTACTGCGTATGGTCTGGTGTGACCCTGCTCGATGGCGTAACCCAGTTTATCGATGGAGTCAATCGGCTTTGGACAAAAACGAACACATCGTTGCGTATCATCGTGTTTTCTTTCTCGCAAAAGGGCTATGGTGAAACAGAATTATTTTCAACGCAAACCTCGCACATGGATAAAATCAAAACAAACGCGTATCTAACCACCCGTTCGGCACAGTTTTTACGGCATTTAAATATCACCAACAGTTAATCAATCGCTCCGCACATGTTTGAAAATGATTGACGGTTTAATTGAACAGGATGTATATTTGGATTAAATAAACAATATTATGCCTATAGAGTTTTGGTCTCATCCCACGGTTTGTAGTCGAGGCACTACGTTTAGTGGACTGACACCTGTGAATCAGTTCAATTTTCGTTCTTTACAGATCAGAACAGATCTTTAGCTAAACGTAGTACTTTTTCAGACACTGTAAAACAACTAAACTTTATGTGAAGTTTAGTTGTTGTTGAAAAAGTTCTCCCGTCACATCCGACACTTCGAATGAAGGGAGGACTGCCTTTTAATCAACTTCTTTCCGCAATTCGGGTCACTGCCAAGCCTCTGAGCTAGTGGACGTCATCAGTTAGCCATGTTATGACAACCAACTTTCAAGATCGGCTGGAGCATCAGACCCTTTGAATTACATGTGCCTAAATCGGGAATGCTGGTCGACAAATCGTTTTAAGCAGTAAATAGAATGGGAATCTATGCTTTGGATCTTAAGCGTGATTTCTGCATATCACGCGACGTATGCTGTGGTCACTATTGACAGCACGAGCATGACAATCCGTGCGTATTCAGTGCTACGAAGATGCCGCATGTTGACCCTTGACCTGTATCCAAGCAAGTAGTACCCAACTATTGTTGAGTCCTGTTTCCCATAAATAATACAAGAAGAAGCAATGCTTTGAAGAATGCATTTAATCGGAAGCACAATTTGAATTTTCGCTTTCTTCCAGTCAGGAGCTGAGATTCAGATAATTTCGGAACAAGGATATCCAACGGGCTATTTTGTATTATAATATATTTGTACTTATGTGCCCTTAAAAAATCGTTATCATGACTTGTAACAATTACTCGTTATTATAGCTTGCAGTATAACAAACAATGAGCAATGAAGAAGTAATATGAAACTAATAGTAATTGTGAGTAAGGCCAATCAGCACCTAGTAACGTGGCTAATGTTTGTTGCCACGCATTTCTGTACGGAGAAAAAAAATCGATTGTTTCAGCAAAAGTATAAAGTGTATTATTGCAATAAATTAAATTATGAGGAAGGTTAAAAAGCTAGAACGTGGTGTTAAAAATAACAATAAAGTTCCATCGCTTTGCAAACATCTTTGACGAACTAGGTCTAACGGTTTTTAATTTTTTCGTTATCCGTAAGCCGGTTGTTTCAACTAATCATCCGCTCTGCCCAAACGGCAGATCCCAAGATGCCCAAATGCAGAAAAGGTCAGGCTGAACGACGACTTACCAGCGATTTCCTCATCCTTTTCGAGCATATGCTCCCGGGCTATATTGAGCTCCTTGCTAAGGACTGTGTAGTCTTGCGGCATGGTTTGTGAAAGTTGGCGTGCCAAAGCATCTCGCTCCTTGGTGATGTCGCTAATCTTTTGTTGATGTTGACTCAGTTGCTCCTGCAACACCGATTTTTGATGACGCAACAGTAAGAATGACCGTAGATACAAATAAATAAATAACACGAGGGCGAAAAACGAGAAAAACAAGCACAGGCATAACGCTTTAGAGAATGCCCATCGTCGAATATGAACATGCATTCACAAGGTACTAATGACGGTATTCGGTGGCGACAATTTAATGTAATCAATGCAATTTGTAGAGAGACGCGCAAATAAAAACAAACGGGCCAATAAACGACTCCTTATTGGCAAGATGAGACGCTGAAAACAGTCTTTCATTGTCGAGCCGAAACACACCCCCGGGAACTATACAAACGGAGGGGATATCTTAGGCCGTTTGTGAGTTGTGCGGCTGGCTAAGATGGTCAATCTTTTCGGTGAACTTTCTTACAATACCTATCCATAGGTTCGGAATATTCCCGATAGCAGACAATGCCGCACCGCTAATATGCTTGCCGACGGCTAAACTTAATGTGATGCGGAATCGAAGGCGGGCATAGATACACACATGGTTTGTTTCGTGCTAGACGGGGCTTTTAGCTATATGAAGTAGTAATTTTTTTGCTAAAGATCGGACACGAAGCGCAAAGCATTTATTTTCTATCTATAGATACTGAGTAGGTACTGAAATTTATCAATTAATCAGCATGTTATAAACACATAATTAATTTTTCTTCAATTCCAAGAACAGCGCTAGTGTCGACACGAAATAAGGTGCATTAAAAACGTCCTACAATTAGTCTCTCTAGAAAAGAGAAATTATGCCGAAGTATATACCGCAGTCATCAACTGGATAATATATTAACACCAAAATACTACATAAAATCTACTCGTCATTTGTGAGGCACAATTTAGATTTTCATTGGTACAGGTGGATACACTAGTTTTACCTATTTCCTTGTTTTTTTATTTTCTCACGACTTTTATTGAAGAGGTACTTCGATAGTTTAGACACCGATGCGTATCACTTGTTTTATTTATCTCAGTCTAATCGTTCTACAAAAAAATTAGAAGATTTTTGGTCGCGCATTGCTGTGGGTTACTATAGAATAACGACGCAACAAAGTCGTGAATGGCTTGTTTATATGCAAGCCAAAGTAACCCCGGATGGTTTTTGTCTATTCATAACAGTATTATATGTATATAAGACAGAATCTATTGGTGAAGATATACACGACTTCAGTTCACAGGCTTTATACAACGCTAATAATAGTTTTAGTGACTTTGCGATACTATCTTTGTGCGAAAATTCACGAAAATAGCTCTTTACTGGAAACTACGAAGATACCAATTTGCAGCGGATTCAGATAAATCGGAAGAAACGGATTTAAATAATCAAAAGTTCAGAAAAAAAATAGCAAACAATGAATTAACTAGTCTTATCTTCAAAGTAAATGCGGTAAATTTGTACGTGTCTTCTTAATCAATGCAGAACAGGCAAAGGGGGCTAGCTGAAATGTAAACAGTGTTAGAGCTATGATAGGCTTATGTTTGCCTGATCGATACGCGCAGATGGTGCGCCAAGCAAAGTGGTAATGCAGTGTGACCCATGGTGGCATTGAATCCATCATTCCTCGTTGCGTTGAACTGAAAGTTGCTTCTCAGTCATCATTCACCAGCCATTTATCGGCAGGGTAGAGACTTTTGATGTTTTTACCAGCAGATCAACACAGACGGCCCAACTTGGTCCTGATTGCCACACATCGTAGTTAAAAAAATGTAGTGTGTCAACGGTACAGAACATCAAATTTCAATGTTAAAAATCCATGTTAAAACGTAGCCCAGAATGAACGGAGGGCTTCCTCTGTCTGGAACGAAACGCTTTTTGTAGCTATTTTGCCGTTCTTGCCCATATCCATCTAAATCAGAGTCATTAGGGATGATGTACATTTATCTTCTGTGATGCTTAATGGTAAAGACTTAGGAGCGGAAAGCAATCAAGCTAGGTTTGATCGTTTTGTTCATCGCCGCTTAATCCTCTTATTGCAGCTAATCCAGTTTCGCTAATACTCTCTACCTCTTTTGAAGTACAATATGAGCACGCAACTCGTTATCAGCATCATCGAATAAAAGAAGTACGTTAAGACATCACATACAGAAATATTCAGTTTTACTAATTGTTTACGTCGCGTGTTGTCAAATGTTGAAGCGGTTTACAGATAAATTTTGCTTTAGAAAGAGTGAGTCCCGCATTTTCAGAGCTCTGATTCTAAGATCGATCCGTGCTTGATAAACCAAAGAAGAACCCAACGATTGATGGTGTGAATTTCGAAAAAAACTAACTAGGAACTCTTTTAATTTTGTTGTTGTTAACATGGTAACGATTAATTTCCTAAACAAGCTTCGTTGTATCCGAGCAGCCGAGGCCCTCAGTGACGCACAGCGATTCACCTGCAGTTAACTGTCGTAACTGTTCTTCTCTCGATGGGTTTAGTGAAATATATGATATTCAAATTTCGTATAAAACGATCCCCAAATTCGATCTGCTTTTCAGTAAAAATTAGATCCAACGTGCCGAAATTCATTATTTTGTGTATCGCCCTATACTTAAACTAGCATCCGCTATGGCTTTCTAATAGCTTCAGCCTAATTTTATGAGCAACGGAGTCTTTTACTCTCTACACTGATTAACGTCATACACAATTGTTCTCGCTGCAGTTTTTTAATTCGGCAACTTAAGCGCTATCATATATTTGACCCAATTGACCCAGTAGGATAACTTAACTACGTATTCTCATTCCACTCGAGCGTTTAAAGGAGGGAATATATCTGACCATTCATACATCAGACAGTTCTTTCTTGATCTACGCATGTCACAATGGCGGATAAAGACTCACAAATGCATAACCTGCCATATTGGGTCGCTAGCTATGATATAAACAAGGAAGCTTTACAGAACCAACCCAGATGGTCCGTGGGGCCTGGCGATGCGCCGATTGCTGTCAAAACCAACTGGCTATCTTCGTACCAGTACCAATCAATAACTGAGGACTCTCTATTGCGGTGAAACTAAGGATGGGCGGACAGGATTAATCGTAAATAACCAATAAAACTCATCTTCCCTGACTCTGAATCATTAATCTAGCGGTGAATTCTATCAAAATGAGATTAGGTATCTTCCCCCATCAACTCTGGCAACGAATAAACACTGTTTGCCCTGCTTCGGTTTTACGAACGAGGAAACGTTCGTGCAGCCGACGGCAGTGATGACGATATTTATCAAAATGTATATAGTATAACAAAAATACATACAGGTACAGGTTACAGGAATGACAATAGAAACGACCGATTTTTTTCTTAGTAGCTTGTTGATATACATATACAGTATTGCTGTCAGAGACTCGGTCGGATCATATGTACGGTGCCTTCAATCCATTGTCAATCTATCCCTGAGCTCTTCGCTAACAGAACAGAAACTGTTGCTTCAACCGATCCGACTTTCGAACGAAAAACATGCTTCTACGTTAAAAATAAACCTGCTTCTTTGCAATCGCATCGCTCGTATGCAGCCATAATAATAATAATAGCAATACTAATGTACGTGGCCCCGACAAAGATGTTTTTATAGCGACGAAGATCAATTTCGAAGCCGAACCATCTTTTGAGTCACCAATCAAAAACTATCCTCGTTTATGCCTCCGAATTAAGCGCCCGTTCGAAAATGTTCAAGGAAGCTAGAGTGTATAGACGCAAAACAACTGTATATATAACAGACATCCCTACTTGACTTCGTCACCTTCTGAATAACACATATCTAGCACATCATTAAAATTACCCGAAATCGCTTAATTTTTTCGATCACCGCTACTTAATCAATCGTTCTGTTTAACACGTTAGTCATAACGCAATCAAAGCGAATAGATCTCGACCTCGTCCAACATTGCGCTTCATTAATGGCAACATGTTCCCTTCGCGATACTTTACCGCTTTGACTTGCACGGCGGCGCTACATGTATTCCTTCCCATACGCTCCACCACAAAGTCTTTTCCCAGCATTTTGCTTTTGTGAACGTGATACCCAATACCTGCATGCGCTTCTTGCAGGACCCGTTACTATTTTTGACTTTAAAGGTAATAATATATAGATCAAGTTTGGCCTAAAGCTAGGACGGACAACGACAGACTAGCAACAGAATCTATCCGCAAAGGAATAATAAGCCATCTGCGTTCAGATTTAACATCCTGAAATCTTCGCTAGCTTTGGTAAAACGCGTTTGCGGATGCCTAGATCGATAGTAGGCAAACTGATTTTGTGACTCGGTGAATTGGCGCATGTTTTAGAGTTTTAGCAAGTGTGGGGAAGTCGTCAAATGCAGCAGGCAAACAAATTTATCATCCTGATTTATACAACTGAAACTATATAATTGTGTATGCTATTACCTACCGGGGGGCATGACATCTCGGCTAGCTGTAAAAGATGATTAAATTTTTAGAAACGGGGTAACGACCACCCAGAAGCCTTCTCTACCTAGCAAAAGCAATAAAGTGCTAAATGTCTTCCCCTTCGAAGATCGCTAGGGTAATATTTCATCAACAAGATGCTGTAGTACCCTAGACAAGTTCGTATATATAAAAAAAAAAGGACACGCTCATCAGGCTCTCACGAGTATTCGAACTGATATCATTCCACTATAAAAAAATTGAAACGGTAACTCCGTAGTGATTTTTTACGTCAATCCTAAAAGCCTATATATTACACATTGTGTAATAAGATGTACTTTGATTTGCTTTTTTTTCTCAGCTCAGTTACTTCTAGAGCAACAAATAAAAAAGCTTTTGTTTTTTTTTTAACACATATAGAACCCAGTGTAAAACTACCGAAAGGGAATTATAGTATTTTTCTAGCCTCAATATGTCAACGTGTGGACGAGACAGATTTTTAGCCAGATAACTAACGGCTTCTCCGTCGGTCTGTTTTGCTTACCCTGCTAATTTACATGAGTTACCGGAAACAAAGTTAGTTTTCAGTTTTGGAAAAACTCTACCTTCAATCAGCT